CAAAGACAAAGGGTCCGGGGGGGTTGGAAAGGTAAGAAATCACTTGTAACATCACACTCTAGTATACTAAATAACTGATTTACATAGTAAATCCCCAATATAGTTATTGCTGAATTGAATGGAAGAAACTCTGAAAATATTTTGATTTTCCTTTTTTTAAGCATTGATAGAAAGTCTAATATAAATTGATAATAACCTGTGGGTTTTTTCATATAAGTAATATACCTAAATCCATTACACCTGAATGTTTTACAGTAGGTAACGCTAAATAAGAATTAAATCAATGTTAACTATCTGTTCCTTCCTATTAATGTGTTTTCTCAGAGTCCCAAAGTGGTCAAATAATCAAATACTCCTTTCAATTTAAATCACACCAGACCACATCACATGGTAACTATCTAGTAGCTCAAGGACTAGGTAAAATTATCCTGTCCATGTGAGGTTTTATAAAACAGAGATTCCTCTACATTAATTCTTCAGCTTCACAAATGTTATAAACATATCATCTTGTTTCATCTTCTAACTGGGAGAATATTCCAAAGAAAATATCCCATCTACCTTCAGCTTTTGAAATCTCCACTTTAGAGATGATACAGTTTCCCTGCTTTAGTCTAACAGTTGCAAATGGAGGGCTCTTGTCCTTGAAGTGGACGAGATAAGTGTAGTTTGTTAAATTGGTTAAAGAACGTAGAGTTCAGAGAGGCTACCGTATTTGGACCTAAGGTATATCAATATTTCGGGTAATTATAATTCAGTGAGCTCTGTTCTCTCCTCTCTACATTTGACAAGAGTTGTGTTAAGGAATGTTGTTTCCATTCTTGGAGAGCAAGACGCTGGGTGAGCCCAGGCAGGAAACGGGGCCGGGAGGAAGCCATAAACATCCATTCATGGTGACAGGGCCACCAGACATTCCTTAGTCCAGCAGCCCCATGATGAGTGAGACTCTGCTGCTGGGTCTTCTCAGGCAGCAGAAAAGAGGCAAGGAAAAACAGGACAAAACCAGATGAAGTGTAAGTTTTACAAGGTATGTAAGCTGAAGGAGATCAAAGCATGTACTCACTGCCTGTAGAGGGGGAAGTCGTACTATCTACTAGAAGCTTCACACAGCTTCGGTGGCTGAAGGTGGACTGAACTGTTAGGAGATGAAGGGAGTTTAGGGTGGAAATTCCATTTTATGGGTGAGGAAAATATGGGCAAATGAAGTGACGGAACCTGTGGAAGAGCCACGTGTAGAACCTGGTCTCAGGACACCTACTACACTGAATGAGAAGGCAGAAAGCCCGTGTCAGAAGAGGCTGTGGCAAATGTTACACCTGAAAGATAAAAAAATATTCTTTATCTATACCTTGGCTCCACCGACGGAGAGATGAGTATGTATATCGTGCCTTCATTATTACCCTGCTGGGGGCCACTTCCGGAGAAGGGCCTTCTGAACGACTTAGTTCTGTCTTCCAGGCGCTCTGACAAAACTCCTCTCTTTTGTGGTAAGTTTTCTTGTAGCCCCTCCTGGCAGGTATCACCTTGAAATTCTGTCCATGGCTTTCTGGTTGATACCTTAATTAAATGACCTGTAGTATAAATTTATCTCTATTCCCAGCTCAAGGTAATGGGGATGATGCTCATATCTATTATTCCCAGCTCTGGCCTGGCTCTTACCTCACATTTCCAACTGCAGAACAGGCCATGTCTTCCTGGATGTCCTGGCATCACTTGGATAGAACAAAGTTACCACTGCTTCTACTCTGTGCCTGAAGTACTATTGTTTTGGTCTCACTGATCCAGTTCTGGGCTTCAACGGCTCGCACTGGGACTGTAGCAGTAGAAGCTTAACTAGTTTTCCTGCTTTAGTGGCTCAATGAATCCATCCTATGCACTAATGACCAATGTCAGTTCCAAAGGGAGAGCTCCAATCTCCTCATTCTCCCGATCAAAACCTTTCAGTGGTCTCCCATTACCCCCAAAGTAAAATCCAAACATCTTAACCTGGGCTTTAAGGTCCTCTCATGTTGGGTAATAATTCAACCCACATTTATTGAGTGCCAACTGGATGCCATGCACTGCGCTAGATGCTGGAGACATGCAGTTTAATAGTAAACAACCACTGCTCAAACTGAACTTTCCATTATAGGAGAGGGATGCGGCATAGCAAACAATCACACAGAACAGTGTGTGAGTGTGTGTGTGTGTGTGTGTGTGTGTGTGTGTGTGTCAGAGGCCATGACAGAGTTAGGGAAAGTTCTGGGATAAAAGAGGAACAATACTTAACCCAGACTGACATGGAGAGAGATGGGGGAAAGGAAAGCAGGTTGAAATCAGGGAAGTAGGGATGGAAGTAAGGAAAAGCTTTCCTAGAGAAAGTAGCAGAACTTGAAATATGAAGAGGCAAGGAGACAAGTGAGGGAGGAGTGATGAGTGATGATGAACAGTGTTTCACACAGAAGATTCAGCTTATGTGGCCTTATCTCTGAACTTCTCCATGCAAACTGGCCTACACCTCCTCAACCTTTCCTTACCTCCCCCTTGCTTACCTCCCGAAGTCTGTCTCCATTACCATGCCCTTGAGCTTCATTTGACAATGCAGCTAGAAATCACCTCTCCTAACCCTCACCTTCCTTAGCCTGCACTCCTGCACCGCTGGTATGGGGCTATTCAGGGAACATTCAAGGAATGTATTTCTACTGTCTGCACCTGACTGAGGTCTACAGCACCTCATGTCTGGACTAGTGAATCAGCCTTAGCTGGCCTTCCTGCCTCCTGCCTTTTCCATTCACCAGGTGGGCTTTCTCACTGTCATCCAAAAATACTTAGGCTAATGCTGCTCCATTTACCCCAGGCATTTCTTTTCTTTTCCTTTTTTTTATATATCTTTATTGATTTCAGAGAGAGGAAGGGAGAGGGGGAGAGAGAGATAGAAACATCAATGATGAGAGAGTCATTGATCGGCTGCCTAGCCCGCAACCCGGGCATGTGCCCTGACTGGGAATCGAACCCCGATCTCCTGGATCCTAGGTTGATGCTCAACCGCTGAGCCACGCCCGGCCGGGCTATCCCAGGAATTTCTCCTCCCCCTGGCCCACTCAGTTCCACCCATCCTTCATGGTGTGAACCAACTCCATTCATTCTTTTAGGAGACCCATCCTACTCTGTGCTATCCCTTCTCCAGCTTCCTTTGCCTTTAGGTTCAATGCAGTCCTGCCTATCTACCCGGACAGTAGGATCCCATCCAGTCATCCACATGGTCCATACCATCAAAGACTTGACAATGTAGCAAAGAATTACCAACAGACTTTTGCATATCTTTGCTTCCAGCTTCGAGCAGAGAAAACCTAGTTTCATAAGTAAAGTTGAGAGGTCACACTGGAGAGAAAAATAAACCAGCAACAAAAAGGAGCACCTGAGATATGATGAGGGGCAATTTGCAAAGACTCCGGGAGGAAAGCTTGCCCAAGGTCTAAGTCAAATCAAGTCAAAACACATCACTGTGTTTTCCTTTGTTTGTCTTACAAAAATGGTTTCTCTGGAACATGAAAGAGTTGGAGTTCTTTTCCTCCAGACAGGTAACTTTGCCTCTTTCAGCATAGTATCTTTTGAGTTTCCACTGGAACAGAGAAGGGAAGTATTTTTGCATTCAATGAAAAGGAACTATCTAGGTTCCTTTTATGTTAGTTTTATTGACATGGTTGTTTTATAGTTTTCTTATTCTGTGACTAGAAATCAATGATTTGAGACAAAAATATTTTAGGTATGCGTGTGTCCCTTATAAAACCGTAAAAAATGATCTGTTTTTCAGTAATATAAGCCTCTGAGCTTATATCACTAACAAGCTTCAGTAACATCTATACTTCGGGGGGAAACTTCCCCTTTGTCATTTCCTCATGCAAACGGCCTTGTCTGCTGCAACTGGAAAAGCAGGGGAGGTTCTGTTCTCTGTCTTTATCTCACCCCCTGGGATGGGGACGTTTCCTCATGACGGTTAGTGTAGTAACTGCTGGCAGGCCTCCAGGAGTAAATAAGGGTTGAACGGAGCTGGAGACTATGCCAAGGCCTCATGCAGGATCTTTGCCCTTGGTCAAGGACAAAAGGGTGTCTGCCAGACATGTTAAGTCAACGAGACTCTAGGACTGCTGGTATCTGAAGGACAAGCCCCTCAGGAGGAATTTTAAACCCAACACCAAAGCTCCCATTTAACATATGGAATCCCCAAATAGCTACCTTCTAAATATCCATCAAATTTAAGATAGGAAATTGGAAAGTATATTTGAAGTCTTATCTGCATCATTAACATACTTCGCAGGTACAAACATTCCTTACTGAAGTAAATCCTCCCTCAAGGATAACATTTTGACAAATCTTCCTAGTTAGATGAGCCTAACTAGGAAACTTCTATTTGTATTATTCAGGATTTCTACAAGTTACAAGATGCATCACTTCAAAAAATTCAGTACATCCAAAGGACATCATCTGAGGCCCTTTGAGTTTCTTTCTAAACTTGCCTTGGCTACTAGGATCCCCCCCTTGCCCAGGGCTTATCTCCTGTTTCCTCATTTTTCCTTGACTTTCTAGTCTAGCTACCTCAGCAGGGCTCATTCTCTTCCCTGCCTGTATCTGTTGTTAACTGAGCTGTTCACAACCTACACTCACTGTCAAGCACCTCTTTTAAGTCTTCAAACTCAGGAGCAAGGTAGAGAGAAAGGGCTGGGATGCATTTTCTTCCCTATGTGGCCGTACAACTAGATTCCTTAAATTCCAGTGACTGTAGGTCCTAACTGGGTTACTTCTCTGAACCTTAAAAATTTCCCCTTGATCTGAAATCTCTGCCTCTTCTCCCTTCAAACTGGTCTATGTCAGCAGGGTCTTTCCTCTCCTAAGCCGGACTGCTGTCCTTATGCCTATGGTGGCCTACAGCGGAGATTTTTGGGGCAGGATGAGCAGCGGCAAAGACCAACCACTGACTAACAGATCTGCTAGGCTGAGCACGTGTTCAGAGTCCAGACTCTCACCTGAATGAGGAGATCGATAGCGAAAGTCCTCTTTGGTCAGCAGCAGGAGAGCTTTGCCATTCATTTCAAATGTGTTGCTGTCAATTGGCCTTAAAGAAAACTCATTTTCAGCCCACTTGAGCCACTGGGCTACGTCATCCCTGCTCCAGTAAATTGGCTGCAAGCCTGTTGGAGAGAGAGCAAGGCAGAAAGAGAGAAAAAAAAAGGGTCTTGTCAGTTAGACAGTTGGAATAAAAGGGAGAGATTTCTGAATGGTTAACAGCACTGAGTCTCCACGTCTGAAGAGCCCTTATGTTCAACTCTGAATCCCAGGTTAAAACCCAAGCTTCGTAAGTGCCAAAGTATGATATCAAATGAATTTTATATGTAGAAGTAAAATGAGCAAAAAATCCTTTTGTATGTCTTTAAGGGACCACTGGTCTTAGAGCCCTGACCTCCCTCGCCCTGCTCCAGGGCCTGTCTTGATTCCAGGTTTACCCTAAAGGTGCAGCGCTATGGTGGCGAGATGCACCCATGGAAGTGCAGAGTCATGACACATGTCAATGTACTTTGAAAGGGACCTTAAAATCAGAGCTGATATGATTGCAGCCCAGAGTCCTTTGGAAGTGAGAATGTTCCAGAGCTGGGCTTGACTTCCCAGAGCTGCCAAATAATGAAGTGTTCCCTGAAACTTCTTCCTGGAAGAGCCATTGGCTCAGCCTCTGGGAAACTATCAGGCCAGCCCCTGGGGAAGAGAGGGCAAGGTAAGGAGAAAAGGTCTTTTGCCTTTTTAGTCTACTTGCTGATGTTAGAACTTCCAGATGGGGGTGCTACTGGGACTCTGAGTAGGACCAGAAGCAGGTCAAAGGGGGGGCTGCAGCTCAGGCTGGATCTCTGTCTGGAAGCCTGATTGGGAGTCTACCTTTTAATTGCATTTTCCTGTTGTGAGAAATCTTTGACATCATTCAAGTGGTTTAGAACAGTGGTTCTCAAAGTGTGATCTGGGGACCCCTCACAGTTCCCAAAACCTTTTCAGGGGTCTATGAAGTCAAAACTATTTTCATAACAATATTAAGAGGTTATTTGCCTTTTTTCACTCTCATTCTTTCCTGAGTATATGGTAGAATTTTCTAGAGGCCACACAACATGTGTTATTGCAGCAGAGATAAGAATCCAGCCGTCTTGTATGAAGCTAGACATTGAAGAGACTTGCAAAAATGTAAAACAATGTCACTCCTCTCACTATTTTTTTTGTTTTGGAAAATATACTTCTATGTTTATGCTAATATATGCTTGGCTTATTATTTTTCAGTAAGTTAACAAATACTTTAAAAATTCTCAGTTTTAATTTCTAATCTGGTAACTACAGATAGCTAAAACCCATATGAGCAAAGCTCTTTGAGTTCTTTGATAATTTTTAAAATTTGAAAGGGGTCCTGAGACTAAATCTTTGAGAACGGATGGGTTAGAAACAGCTCAACAGAGCTTCATTCTCTAAAAATCTATTGTGTGAATTAATAGTTCACATACAACAAAATCAGTATCTGCTAGGAGGAGCTTCGGTCTCTCTATTTAGTTACCTAAACTTGCTAAGGAGACTCCATGAGGGTGCTATAAAAGTGTCCTTCAGTTTGATCCTGGAAAGAATCACCTTTCATCCTAAAATAAGTCAAGACAAAGACCTGACTGGTCTACTTGGATGGGCCACTCATCATCCTCGGGGAATGAATGGCTCAGATCCCCTGGAGAAGGTCCAGGGCCTTTAGGCATGACTTCGGCTCTGCCTTCCAGGTGGCTCCTCTGCAAAGTCTAGTTTTGAAGAATGGTAGCTGGCTTCCTTGACCTCTGTAAAGAACCTTCAAAACTCATCCATTGTGTAGGGCAGGCGTGGGGAAACTTTTTTCTGTCAAGGGCCATTTGGATATTTATAACATCATTTGTGGGCCACACAAAATTACCAACTTAAAAATCAGCTATGAAAACAGCTCCTAGACTTATTGAATTTCAAGTCCTACCTGCGGTTGCCTTGGCAGGGCCAGACCTATATGGCTTGTGGGCTGGACGTTCCCCACCCCTGGTATAGAGCATCAATAAAAAACTACAAGCATTGGAATAATATATATAGGCATTTAGGAGGTTTTTTGTGTGTGTGTGTGGGGGGGGAGGGTATTTTTGTTTTTATTGTTTTTAAGTTTTATAATTTTTTCATATAGAAAGAAAAAAGTGGCATTATAAAATAAGAATGTATTGTGTGTTACTGCTCTATGATCTTTAGAATAAAATGGCCAGTAAAGAATTCAAGGTTTGGTTTTAGCCTCTTAACTGGGCCAAGAAGCATTGCCTATTAAAAATAGTCCAATGGTCCTTGGATACAGGGGGCACCCCAACTCTTTCCAATGACCTTAAACATGTGCATCTGGAATCACAGTGGGGTGGGAGTGGGTGTGAGGATGGCTCAGCAAAATCTCAACTTTTGAATTGGTAAGAAACCTTAAAGTTTACTTCCTATTATTGTCAATGGTGTCATCTTTGAACAAGAGCAGCATAATGGTTTGTCATTAGGGACTTTCCTCTCCTTCACACAAGGAGCATGAGTGCAGCCAGCCATGAGGGGACAACTGTGAGGCGCCAAGTCAAGCTTGGCCTAAGAAAGCACCTGGAGTGAGGGGGCCACGGAGCAGAAGATGCTGGGTCAGAAACAGGAAAAAGTACGGGGGAGCTGATTGGAAGTGCAAGTGCCAAGGCAAATACAGAACTGAATCTCGATCGGGAGGGGAAATGAGAGTAAAATGCTGAAGTTTCTGCCGAGGATACACGGAAACAGAGGGAGGCGGGTGAGAAGGGGGTGGGGGACGCAAGTAGTAATTTGAGGTTCTTTATATTCTATGGAAGAAAATAGTCATGAGTAATCTTTTCCCTAAATACAAGAAGAGGTACACACTCCAAACAGCCCTGCTGGTTAAGAACAACAGTTTCTCTTTTCACTTCCCATTAGTCTCTCCCACAGCCCAGCCCCTGCCGCAAGCGGAGCCCCTGGGCGGAAACCCCCTCACCAGGGACCAAGCGAACGCTCTGGGCTTGTGTGCAAAAGGAAGCCAGGGAGCTCGAGTTGGCCCAGGGGAGACCACAGCAATCCGAGCAGTCTCACAAAGGTGACCCCGACAGAGCAAGCTGCCTGCTTGAGGCCACTCAATAACTTTATCGGAGTCACTACTCTTCCATTAGCATAAAGAGATGACAGACACATTCGCTGAGCTGGAAAGGGGCTCGATAAACTTTGGTGTTGAAAGTCAAGTTTCTCTGCTATTGCCTTTTCAGTTCAATGGAATAAAACGACTGTGGCTGTTGGACGTGCTTTGCAATTTTAACTGAGGACAAAGAAACCCCCTTTACTCAAACCTAGGGCCAGCCCTAAGGCCTGGGTGTTATAGCATATAATGGAATACAGCCTTGGACCCAGAGGCAGCTCTGGTCTAATCAGGAACATTTAACTGACTCAGCTTATTTAGCGCTTTCATCACTATTCTAAGGACTTTATAAATATTAGTTCATTTAATTGCATGCTCACAGCAACCCTATGAGACAGTGTTTCAGATTAGGGAACTGAGGCCCAGTACATTTTAGGGATTTGCCCAAGGTCATGTGGCCATAGTAACAAGAGGAGTTGAGATTAGAATCCAGGCAGTCTGACTGCAGAGTCTGTGCTCATATCCATTACACTATGCTTACCCATGCATTTCCCATCCAGGTGCAGATTCAGATGGATTTTCAATATTATTAGGAATTCGAACAAGACCGAGTGAACCGAATCCTTCCCACCCAAGAATTTTGATCCTTGGAGGCTTTCTCAAGCTATCAATAAACTAAAAAGGAGAGCAAAAAATCTGTGGATCCCTGAAGAAATAGATTTATAAGTGGGAAAAGGAAGAAGGTAGAGGTGGAACCCTGCTTTGAACACATCCAGGAATATAGCTGCCTTCCCTGGCTACTTGCTCACAGGCACTGGTCCTGAGACTTCACATGGCTCACAGAAGCGACATGGGCAAGATGAGGGAGGTACATATAACACAGAACCTGTTCTACAGTTATCTCTTGCAACTTTAACTCAACGAAGTTGAAAAACATACCTTTCAATGATCATTGGTGAAAAGAAAAAGAGGGAGACCATCATTCTGCATATAAGTTATGCTACTCGCTGTGCATATATAACGAGCCCATGAGAGCCATACTAAGACCTGGATTTTTAAAGTGAATTCATTTCAGAGCATAATTGAGATGAATTTTGTACAGAAGACACGAACTGCTATGACTGAGAAAATTACTAAGAATTCCTCTGCACATGTTACCCCAAATAAGTCAAGTCAAGTTCATGGTGCCGTACCTGTCAGTGACATACCCAGGCCCTTCAATTTTCTTCTAGTATTTTTTTGATTCTATGTTCAAAGGTGCATCCAGGCTCATCAGCACTTTCACAGCATCATTTCAGCCTTTCTGAGTTTAAACATAACTAACAATAAAAAGCATGCTGGGAGTCAGATTTGCCATTAATTAACATGTGACTCTGGGCAGGCCACTCAGTTTCTCTGGCTCAGTGATTTCATCTGTAAAATGAGGGGCTTAGAGTATGTGATCTCTACTCTCTTCTGAGTTTAATACAGTCACTATACTTCCATTTAATTTGAAACTTAAAAACAAAAGACTACAAGTAGCCCAGACCTTTTTCCTACAGAACTACCCCATGCTCATGACAATGACCCTGAGATTTTCTAACTTCCTCAAGGATCTCCTGAATCATGGAAAACAGATTAAGTTACTTTAAATGAGTTAAGTGCTTAAGAGTGCTTCATTGTATTCTAATTCTTGGAAAAGTTATAACCCGGCAACGGCAATAATAAACATAACATTTTGACAAGGTGCTCTAACATGTATGACCTCATTTGGAATTCTCACAAGCGCCCTGTGAAATCCTCTGTATTCTCATTTCAGTTTATCAAATGAGGAAATAGGGGGCTCAGAGTCATTAGATGATGTTACTGGTTAGAACAATACTCAGTTCAAACTCTTTAGCTATAGCATGCGTTAATCAAAAACACCCTTTAACCCAAACTTTCTGTGTAAACAGGAATTTGGTACAGATTCTATGGTTTAGAGAATAGAATCATAAAAGACAGGAGACACCGCAGCAG